TTCGCGCCCCTAACCAATGCACCATACCCGCGGCAGAGCGTCTGGGGTGTGGTCTGTGCCGACTGCGGCAGGAACCAGCTTGGCACAGACTTGCAGCGCACCTGAACGATCACGATAAGTTTTCAACTGAAAGCAGCTATGCCTGCAATGGAATTAGGGCCTTGAAGAGGTATTCTTGATAATACTATTAGCTTCGCCCTTTACTACGCGTAATATAGTCACTTCGGATGCTTTAGCTCGGTCGAAGGAAAGCACACCCCCCTTCCCGAGCTTCGAGGTCTGCAGTGTCTCCCGCACGTTTTATGTAATCGAAGACAGTCAAACAGGCAGACAAGCCTCCATATCCCCCAACGCTGGGACATTCAGAACCCCTTGTTTACTGCTCACCACTGTGCTTGTTGAAACTAATTGCAAGTTGGGTTTCCTAATATGACCAATGCGAAACACGCTGGCAACCGTCTTACAAGCACAGAGCAGGTAACAGGGTAAGTTCCGCATATTGCAGAACTGTTTATTCTCGGGATGTTTCCTGTAGCAAGTTTAAAACTAAGCCGGAGTCGGAGCCGGAGCAGAGGGAGCCGGGGCACTGGCCGGAGCAGAAGCAGAAGCCTTTTCCTTCTTCCTCTCAGCTTGAATGGCCTTCGCGTTCTCTTTGAGCTGGTTTTTCTTGTCTTCAGGGAGACCTTCCCGCATGGTTTTGACATTCTGGATTGCTGCCTCCTCCTTCTGCTTGAGATCCTGGGGAATGGCGGCGTTGGCCGCCTTGCGAGCGTCCCGCATGGCCTGTATGGCCTGGTCAAGTTCAGGTGAGATGGCCTTTCGCTCGTCTTTGAGCTTCTGGATCTCGGGGCTATCCTGTTTCTGGACTTGGCGCCTGTACAAGTCCATCAATGGCGCGTCCCTGCTGATGAAATGGGGCTCGTCGAGATCCTCGAGTCCACGGCGGTCATTATGAGTAGTCACCGCCAGGGCAGTCGCGCTCACTAGTACAAAAGGCGTGTTAGCAGGCAATTGAATTTTGTGGGGGCATAACAGAAATATTGGGCCAAATTCAAACGTACGAGCAAGAATAGCCAAGTTGAAGCGGACCATTATGAAAGATTTTGCTGTTGTTTTGCGTTGAGGCTTTAATCAGATGTATTGTATAGACCAGCTACACTTGTTGGACGTCCTAAGGCTGAAGGAAGATGTTGCTAAATGGGAGATGTGTTGAAAATGTTGAGTCGAGAAGGGCTGGGAAAGATGTTGATGGTATTTGTATTCTATAGCGACAGACTGCTGCCCTCGAGCGAGTCTGCGTGACGCCTGAGCAAGTGGAGAATTTTTGTGGACATTTCGTTTGGCATCAAAGTGTTTGAACGACTCGCACTGTTACAAGTTCGGTATCACGACGAGCTCCGCCTCAGCTGGACGCATGAGACGTTTCACCTGGTTCGAGCAAGACAGAGTCTGAATCAAGAGAGTGACGACATTCTCCTGGCTACAATCCCGGGTTCATGATAGTGGCGAACTGCGTGGCCCTGGGAAAGCTTCATCGTCAGAAAAGTGGAATGCTGCCAATCCACGTTGAGATGCAATCGTGTTGCAGGAAACCCACCTTTTGTGTCGTCTGAAACGTCACGACTTGTCCAGGGCAATAATGGGGCCATTCCGTACCCATCACCGCAATGTCCATGGTTGGTGCCAGTTTCCAGCCAAATCGGTAGGTCCGCCTGCCCAGCAACACTGACCAGGCTCTTGCCTTTTGTGCTACGAAACAGGCACAACTGAAGGGAGTCGAGAGCCATTCGTAACGGACAACAATAGCCCGGCCATTCGGCGCCGTCACCGGTCGACAGCACTGTAAGGTAGCATCATTGCACGACAGTTTCGAGGCTGTGCGACTGGGGTCGGCCCACTCTTTACGCTGGCCGGGAACGTCAGGGGCTGCAAGCAGCCACCTCGGGTTCAGGTGGGCGCCAGAATGGAATGGGTCATTCGTTGATATGCGGACATTCGCTCCCGCGATGTCTGGTGCAGAAGACAGAAGTAAGAGCGGCCGTGGCACAACACTGCAGAAGCTGTGGCAGAATGGGAGGGCCCGGTGGTCACTCTCATGGCCACTAGCATGTGGTGACGAACTTGGGGTGGAAGCGAGTTGGCGGCATGGCCGGGCAATGCGGATAGATTGCCGCGTTTCCAGATGTGGCTCCAGCACTTGTGTGATGCGATGAGTTCAAGGATTGAGGCCAGTCAACAAGCATAGCCCATAGACGGCAGCCAGATACTGAAGAGATCTCTCCTCTCCTGGCAAAGGGACATCAACTTCGGAAGGTGTCGATGGCCCCTAGAGACCAGCTGGAGAAGAAAGGCCAGAATAGTTCACGGCAACAAGCCACCATCGCGGCGAATGGACGCAATGCCTCGAGCGGCGAATTCACGTCTGTTGCAACCAGTTGTCCCGTTGGACAGGTCTTGCAAGTGCAGTGACGCCGGAAGGCGGAACGCAGCCTTATTTCTAACGTGGGCAAGGGGCCAGTCAGTTCCCGAGTAACCATCTTGTCGACTACCTACAGCTGGATGGGGGTTGCACCCCATGGCGCCAACGGCGGACTGCTGTGACCTCATCCCACACCCCCAGAAACCCATCCCCGCAACCAACACCGGCCCGCGAAACTCTCCATTACTAGAAGCCAGACTGGAAGGCGACAAGCTCCCTGCGTCGTTGCTACATCATCCACTTCCTGGCGAGCTCTGACGACTTGGCAGAAGGTCATGCAAGGCCAATACTGTCCATCTGAAGCGGTGGGGGAGGGGTGGTAATAGTGACCCTTATTGGCAAGAAGTCGACAATCGCCCGCCACTTCGCCAGCCGCCCCGCCGCAACACAGAAGCCGTCATTGAAGGTCACAAGTTGCGTCGGCCAGATCCTGACGATCTTCGTCGTTTACGTAAAGCTCATGCAAGGCCACTTGTGGTAACCTCCAGTTGCGGAGTGACCTGATCCCTACTGATACTGTACTGTACCCACAACCAACTCCCCCTCGGACGTCATTTGTGGAAGCACGATGGTGGCCGAGCGACTCCTTACGCTGCTATAAACGGGCAGGTCCAGAAGATGGTGTGGCTACCGTATCTATGTGGATCTCCCAAGCGAGAACCTGCATCTACCAACAGCGTCGTAGCTTCCAAATGCCCATAGCCTGCGGCCACGTTGACTGGCGTCATTCCGTCACGGTCTCTGACCGAAACATCGGCCCCGTGGTCCAGAAGCAGCGACATGTCTTCGATATTGCCGCTCTCTGCCGCCATGCACAATGGCGGCTTCCCGTCGCAGCCATTCGGTAGGTTGACGTTGAATCCATTTTGTCCCAGCAGCCACTGGAGCACAGTAATCTGGCCAAAACATGTTGCAATTGGGAGGAGCATGGGGTCATCTCCTAGACGAAGCTCGAAAGTCACAGCGCGCGCCGAACAGTATCCAATCGTCCATACTTGACGGCCCACCGCAAAGCGGTGTCATCTTTAAAGTGATCCCCTGTCGACAGTGCCTCTTCCAGGTAAAGAGACTTGATCAAGACACGGTGAAAATGCCGACCCGTTTAGATCAGAGCATTGACGTCTCGTTTGCTCATATGCTCAGCAATATTTTCGAGAATTTCCGGCGGAAATTTTGTCAACGCCATCGTGACTTTTTGATGTCAGAAGAGTTTGCCGAACCACCTAGAGTACTATGTGGGAACTTGGTTGCTCTCTTTCGACCATGCGACTAGCGCTTTCCAGCCAAGTTGTACGCGCTCGGTGTCTATATGGTTCGATGATGGTGTGTCCGACTCGAAACGATGCTCTGACGAGATTACGAGGCTGGCAGGACTACAATTTGCGGATGTGTTGCTGTTGGGGGAGGGGAGAATAGAGAGAGAATGCAAGGACGAAGTGCGCGAGCTCACGTCGCAAACTGAGCGAGGGGGAGGCTTCGTTTCACATTCTTGGTGGAAAGCTCGTCTGTGTAGCCCGGGCTAATTGCTGACGCGCAAAGTGTGGGGCGAAGTAATGCCCGACGCATTTGCTCTCTCATTCTCGTGTGTGCCATGTCGCAAAATGGCCCCCACGGTGGTGAGACAGTGCTCGATGGCTGGTTATATCCCTCCTCGGGAAGGTAGGCCGCCAAGGTACCCCACCAACGAAGAGATCCGTGCCCTCAGCGTTGTCGACAGTCAACATCAATTCACCCGCACTTTCATGACCCAAGGCTGCCTAGACGAGAGACTTAGCATCGCATTCGGCGTCATTAGCCCCTGAAATGTCGAGCGTTCGGCCGACGTCGCGATAGCCGTTCTCAAAACTGACAGCATTCATTGCTGGAATTCAGAACACGGAGAAGTCAGGGTGCTCGTCGCGGACGCAAAAGGCGGCGTCCGTGGCAATCTGCGTTTTCCTGATGCCCCGAGCCCAACAACGGCCGTCCGCTGGCAGTCACCTTTGATCGTGGAGGGATGTATTGCCTCGACGAGTTGATCGAATCATCATATGCTGGTATGTCATTGAGCCGCCGTGTTTCTTGACCGCCGACCTTCGTCTTTCTTATCTCGTGCATCCTGATGCAGTGCCATGCTTCTCTTTACCGGTCCAGTCTTCAGCGTAATTCGAAGTCGTGGCAGCGCTGTGATTGTGGAGGTCAAGAGAACAGACTGTGGACGGTTGACGGCCGAACAAGTTGCGCCGCCGGAGGTTGCAAGGGAGCTAGATCTATCTACGTAACGTAGAACGTTACGATAACAGGGATGGGCATGATGGTCACTGCGGGAGCTGTATAGAGACCCTGACAGCTGGGAGTAGTGTAGTAGACCAGCCTTGCAAATGGCAATTCAAGTCTCCGCCGTATTCTCCTAGTCTACAGGCCTCCTGCCATCCCGGCCCGGTGGATAACTGGGGCTTCGGAAAAGTAGCTGAAGTATTGCATCCGGTTCCCAGGGAGCATCATATCACCTCTCACATCTGAAGTTGACAACCTCATGTGGCTACATCAGCCACCTCATGTCAGCTGGAACCCGCCAGAGTCGCTGCGGCTCGTTCCCGTGCTCGGTGGCCTTCCATAGATGGCTGCATTTGAGCCACCAGAACAGGGCAACAACAAACGCCATTGTCGGGACCGCACTCCCGACAATAGCCGCCGCAGCCCAATATTGCAAGACGTTGAAGTTGTCCCGGTAGAACCCGGTGTTTTCGAAGTCGACGTAACCCCCGAGCAGAGGCGCGTTCAAAACGCTTGATTTGCAGTAACAGTTGCTAGCCAGGCCCGTCACCTGAACCACTGGTAGTTAGCGACTCAAAGACCAAGGACATGAGTAAAGGCTTCAAGGCAGAGGAGTGTTGTTGGCCGATAGTCGGTATCTCACCTGAAATATAATCACAACAAGCAGAACCAGCACAGCCAGAAGGTTGAAGACGTACGAGACCCAAAGTAGCCTTCGCCGCGGACGTTTTGAGAACTGAATCACCCAGGAAACAGAGCTGAAACCGCCAAACAGCAGGTATGACAAGGATCGGCAACCCAGACCTATGGTCGGGGCCGTGAACGATACGACGAAGGCGGTCATGATAGCCCACCATACCAAGAGGAAAGAAAGCACCGCCACGACATACCATGCCATGGGCTTCCCAGCTTTCGACCTCCTAGCGACTTCCGTCGCGCAGTGGCTGAGGCCGCCTCTCTTTTCGGCATGGAAGTCAATGATCGTCGAAGCGTCGAGCAGTGCTTTAGGAAGCCCGCAGAATTTAATCTTTCTGCCTTGTCCAATAAATCCATGGATTCTCAGAGGCTCGGGTATTTGAGTGCTGTCATTCCACCACTGGATGTGCTCGAGAGCAGCACCTCTGACCGGTTGGTGAGCGGGAGCTATTCTCGCGGCTGGCCGGCCATGCTGAGCGCCCAAGGGATGTGCCCACGTCATGACAGCGTCTACGTTGTAGAGCCAGCGAGAAATCAGTTCACTATAGTAGTCAGCGGCACGTTCCTTGGGTTGTGTCGACATAAGACATAATAGTTTAAGCAGGTTTAGTGAGCACTCACGCGGAGCGGTCCGACGATATGGGGTTCCTGTCGACAATGGTGAAGACGACCAGGAGCGGAAGCCAGGTTATCAACAGGCCAAAGGCCAGCGAGAAAGGTGTATTGGCATCACCCAGCTCGGCAAAGGCGAGGACGACAGAGAAGATGAAGGCGACGAGAAAAACGCCCATATTGGCGAGCATGGGTATGACTCCACGTCGACGCAGCATGCGCAGCTGAAATGCGACTGAACACAACAGCTGATGGGTGAGGTCAACATCCAGATCTTGATCGCCGGATAATGGCCGAAACAAGCCATAGACCAGGACATCCAGCATCCGCGTTGGCATACCGTCATCCTCTGCGAGACTGAAGCCGTCGAACTGATTCACGCAGCAGAGCACATAGTACGCCGCGCTGTACAAATGCATCTGTGAGCCGCTGGCATGCCTGAGGACCCGTCGATGTGACTCGCGCAGTTGGCGGAAGTTGAAGATGGTTGCCGTCAGGGCCGTCTGCGGGGAGCCCAGCCAGTTGAGGACGGCAACCAGGGTCCTGGAAAATTTGCGTTCGTGGAGAGACTCGAATGGGAGGCTCAGCAAGATTGTGAGCGGGAATACCCAATTCGTCGCGATGCTGAGCGCTTTGGGAGCTTCATAGGCGGCAACTGGATTGCCGCAGATTGCCTTGCAGCCTGGAGTCACAAAGGGTGAGGGTTAGCTCCATGGCTACAATGGTGCCGATGGGGGCGTTTGCAGAGATTACCGGCGTATGTAACTGCGACATATTTCTCTCTGGGGAAGTCCCGATCAAGCGCTGTGACGGGACCATGATACAGATACTCATCCAGCGTCTCGTTGTTGATAGGCCCAAGAGTAAGTTGCCCAGCTTGAATCTGCAACACCCTTTGCCGACAATCGGGCCATTCATACACGGCTTGCACTAACGCAACAAGATAAACAGTAACCGCGACATGTTTGGACGTCATCATGGACACGTTGATGGAGATGGCAGCTTGTCAGGATGCCCTCCGGAAACACGTTTTCAACATGACGTGGGATACTGCTCAAGTTTTATATGACTGCCCCCGGCAAGTACATGACGATACACAGGCAATGGACATCCGCGCCGAGTTGACCAGGGCCGTCGCAGCAGCCGCACATACCCAAGGCGCTCGGTGAGGGAGCTGACGTGCTGTCTCAGTCGACATCGATCTTTTCGAGCCACTGGTGCACCACACCGGTGTATCATGGCGTGGCGCTCCGAGGCAGACAAATAAAAGCAAGGGTTCAAGCCCTCAACATAGAGGCTCGTGGCAACGTAGCGACGGTGCCATGCTCAAGGCTCTGACAAGGTGATCAGGGGGATGTCAGTGAGGCAAAATCCTTGTGTTCAGCTGCGAAGGGATGAAGAGATGTAGTGGCGGTGGCCGAGCCGCCCTGCCTGTCGTTGCATAGCACTTGCGGTGCCGAGTCCCGTCTGCCCTGTTCGATGGCGTTGTGTGAGCCACGGCAGACCAGCGAGAGCTAGTTGGCTGCGTCGAGGCTACATACGTCCGCACCTTGGTGAGGTCTTGATGACGACACCTATGTTTGGTAATATCACATGATGAATTAGACGGGGTTAGCTCGTGAATCCTTCGGGCGCTCGTGAGCATGGGCCTTGTCTAACGCAGGGTCCAGACGAGTGCCCTCACCACATGGTCTGATCGGGGTGGGCAGGGCTGCCTGCACTTCAGCGAAGAAAGTCGACAGGGACATAAAAGTGCGTCGCTGGACCCTGTTCCCCGAGGCACGCCTTGCATGGAAGGCAACCTTGCACGACTGAGCGCTTGCAAATGGACACGCTCAGCCGCCGCCACAGCTGAATGTAGGGCCGCGCGCCAGAGACCAGGGTGCATGAAGTGGCAAACTTCACTCGCTGCAAGGCCCATATTCGATTTCAGTCTCTCCGTACGCGGCGCCTCACTTCGACTTGCCTTGCAGCAGGACCAGCTTTCCCAGACTTTCCCGCCCTTCTATGTGTTCTACGAAGTGCCTGCTGTTGAAGAAGAAAAATCTGCCTTCTGCCTTCCCATAGCGAAATAAAATCTGTGATTTGCCTGTTTGCAACCCAAATATTCGGCTCCGTCGGTGCAAATGCGAAGTTGCACCGTGTGTGCGGTCTTGATACCTACAGTCTCGCCCCAGCCATCGGCTTCGTCTCTTCCGTTTCTCATCCTATCCCCCGGACTTGCGCATGTTCGTGTGAATATGGTATCGGTATAATCTCGTTGCCTCTTGCTGGGTTCCTATGTGGCCGTGTGTCTGCGTCTGCTCGACCAGCAAACCGACCTCAACATGGACCCAACCTCTGCTCCGTGAAGTGCATTGCACCGCTCGGTTCAAGCAGCCGAATTACTAAGCCGAGGGACCCAACGTAGCGCGTTCGCAGACAGTGTCGCGTGTTGGAGGATCACCACTCCTCCTTCACGATGTGGGCGACAGGGGACCTGTCTGTCTGTGTCTGTGGTATTTGGTGGCACCGGCCGTAACGTGCTGGGTGTCTGGGGCGTCACGCGGGGTTTGCGGTCGTTCTGTTCGACGGCTTGTCGTTGTGGGATGTTGCTAACATTGTCGTGATGCTGGACGACCAGGAAACCCATCCGTAGTTGCTGTGTTGAAATGGGGAGTCGTGTTCGAGCTTCACCGTTACACTGCACAGACTCGAGTCGGGTGGCTGCAGTGGTGTTTTTGCTGTGCGCGTTGGCGTTTGTCGTGTCTGGCCTGCTCTCAATGTCCTGTGGTCTTGTCCCGCATCCTGTTGACAGCACCATAGAGGGCCTCCACGAGGTGCATCACAATGGGGGAAGCATGATGGCTCGTGGCGGCCGTTGCTATCAGAAGCGGGGGTGCTTCGCTCTGTCTGATGCTGTTGTTTCATAAATTGCGTACTCGCTCTGATAGTTTTCAGAGGGTAGCGGCAACGCACCGGGTGGGGCATGTAGACGATGCCGGAAAAGCGGGTCATCGGCAAAAGGTCGGGACAAGTTCATCTAGTGAGCAAGAAGCCCAGCGGAGCGAGCTGGGTGAGCCAGCATCTCTACAGCACAGAGGGAGGGGCGGTTGGCAGCCGTGTTGGATGGGTGCATTTCATTGGTCTCACCCCACAAGTGGTGTCGCGCCTCCATCAACCATAGGCGGCAAGCCACAGTCACGATCTTGCCGTCGCCAACCACACCCGAGCGCGCGTCAAGAAAGCTCGTGGAAGCTTCCCGTTGAACGCACGAAGCATGCTGGCTCGAGTTGAGCGAGAGCCGCCATAGAGAGATATTTGAGCGTCGCCCATTGCAAAGCGGTTGATGTTCCCGCTCATTGCCTGACCGACGAAAATCGATTCTGTCAAGCTCATGCCTTTTCTCGATATCGATAGACACTGTTCGGGCGTTTGCGCCACGCGGCGAAGGATGACTGACCGGCCAACGCGCTGTCAGCAATACTGAGGACGCGTTGTGCGTCACGGGCCGCTATGGCGCTCCGATCGGACGATTCTCGCCATAACGCCGCGGCGGATGACGGTCACATCCACATTCACCGGTGGTGGAGTACGCGTCATGAGCTTGTCATTGGGTGATGCCTGTCAGCTGGGACACAGATGTAACTGTCATGATCAGGGTTGGACAAGGACTAGATCGGTAACACGGGGTGTTTGCACAAGGTGACTCGCGGCCAACACTCCACCGCCCGGCATCCGCATTTCATGGCGGAGACAGCTCTCAACATGGCTCGGGCTGACCTTCGCTCCTACGGAGCAGCGGCTACTTTGTCGACTCAGGATGGGGCATGGAGTGAACCGAAGTGCATTTACTAACTCTGCCCAAGTTCTTATCGACTACGAATCGAGGGGATGTCATAGGACGCTACGCAGCAGCCGTTAAACTCCGGAGAGCCTCAAATGCTCGCCCGACGCCCTCGACAGCCAGATGGCCCCAAGGCTGGTGTGCTCCTACTGCCAGAGTCGACAATCTCCAGATCCCGAATCATCCGCACCATGAGAGCCATTCGTCGTTCATCTGCCCGCTCAGACGCCGCAGGCCGGTACTTATCCGTCGTGCGGCGACGACTGGGAACTCCGCCGTATACCACATGGTGCCGGCCATCTTTCCGTGGCAGATTCCGACGAGCGAACCTCTGTTGAAGGTATGCTCTCGTAGCTTTCAGGGCGGCGTCGTCTAGGGGTTTGATGTGCCCCAACTTCTCCTGACGCATCACGTCCGAGTCATCGGCTGCCGTTGCATTGCTGGTGGGCGCGAACACGGCGGACACCTTTTCGCTCTGCGCTGCTGCCACGGTGGTATCGTCGACTGTCATTTTTGACCCCCCCTGGAGATTGCTGCTATTGAATCGCAGCTCACAGTCAATCTCCATGTCGTCTGCTACCGGGCTTTCACCGTCGAACCGAATGGCGGAAACACATGTTGCTGAGGATGGGTCCATGTTCGTGACTTTGGCTGTGATCGGGCTGGAACGCCGCTGATGACCGTGTTTGGGATGGTGATGAAGGAAGGAAAGGGCACGCGAGGAGCGACGAAGTAGCGGGGGAACGGAGCTGGGAGAAAATTGCTGGGTGATGCCTTGGCTCTGTTGGAGGAGGCTCGGAATATCAGCTGACCCTGGCTGCATCAACGAGCGGTGCTGTGTGTGCATCTTTGGAGCCCCTGAGCCGATCATTGGACAAGAGCATCCGCAACACGGGGGAAGGCTGCCAGGGCAGGGGCTCAGCATTGGCAGTTTCGAGCCCAGGCCATGCACGAGATATGTTGGAGGTGCAGGCCACTCAAGAGACTATCCGTTTCGAGCACGGAAGAGACCACGGAAACTTCACGAAGATGGCTGGCCCTGTTTCAGCTGGCACCCAGTTGGCTCAGGAGCTTAGAATGGCCAGATCTCGGCGAGGCGTGGCGTTCGACGGGGCATACGAGGGCTCAGGACACTTCCTCGTTCAATCCGAGATCAGCCGTGGCGGACGTGAGGGTTCCACCAACGATGCTACGCGTGTGCCTCGCCTTTGATGGCTGCCATTATTCATAGGGAAGGGAACGTCTGCCGGGATTGTATACAGAGGTCAATGTTTATTTGTTCCGGTAGGAGCTCAATCGATAATAATAGGATCTTCCGCCGAGCCCGATCCACCATGCAAAATCGACTTCCTCCTTCTCAAGTCTTCGGCTCATTCATCACAAGGCAAACACATGAAAGTCAACACGCCTGCTCCATGAAACAACTCTTGGACAAGTCGACATAGACGGCTGTCCCGTGCTGATAAGAGACGGCTTCGCAAGCCTGCTAGCGAGTCGTTTTGGACCATGAACCCGAAGGCTTGTGCCCAGAACGAGAATGGAATCAGGCGCCGCGGCCATATCCTTGGCGGACGAAAGGGGATACAGCGCCCTGATACGTACTGGGCGCCACGGTGGTACTCGTGTATACCATCATAATGCGTATGCCATGCTGCACGTCGGAATACATCCTGTGCAACGAGTACCGCACATTCCGTACTCCCTGTCCAGGGCTCTTCATGAATAATCTGCATTGCGACCTGCATGTGACGGACGTGTTGCTTCAGTTGCTGCCAGGTGCCCTGTCAAGCATGCACTCCGCGAGAAAAGCCGCAGGGCGCGCGAAGCTCATCTTAGATGGCAGCAACCGTGCGTGGGCCACTATTGCCATCTTAATGGGCAACGGCTGCGGTGATGGCCGGTTGTGCTGCTCGCCGCTCGGTTTGTGGTCGTAGTGCAGTTCCAAGTCCACGGGTCGCCATCAAGCTCCTTCTTGATCGTCTCCTGTGGTGCCTTGGTCGTCTCGGCTAGGCAGCCATTGTTCTGATCATGATGGGGTATGGGAACAGCATCGAGTATGCCATGTCCAGACTCCTCGACGGCGAGGCTCGAAAGTCCCGACACACACACACACAGTATGGCACCAGGGGAGACACCGTCCGCAAAGCGAATGTGTCGGCATATGCCTCTGAGAGTCCAAGAATGGACTGCGCAGCCTGCAAACAGATCTCGCGCGGATGCACATGAAGCCCCGCGAGAGGCATGCTAACGTACGGCCTGAAAAGGGAAAGCTGGCAAAAATGATAGTACATGCTGCAGAACAATTAGTTCCGTACTTGTTTCACTGGTCTGGCCGGATATGTTTACGTCCTTAGATGGATGACGTATGCATATATACGTGAACGAGCCTGGGAGATTATCTGTGGGCTCTTACTGAATGAAAGCCACAAATGCGAGTTGCTCCCATCTGCTACGAGCGTTGCAAAGAAACCCTCGTACCAGTCGAGACACCGACGGTATACCAACAATACTTTGTCGGCCTTGGCCGCCGGTGACCACACGAGAAGGTTGTATACCATTCGGTGAGCTAGAATATCTTGGCAGGGACGAGCTGGAGGCTACGGAGCTGAGACCTGTACTCCCCTGCCCTTTCACCTGTATGGAGCCGTCAGCCCATCCATACTGCATGGTCACGCGCTTCAGCTCATGCTTGCGCTACTTACACAACTCGCTTGACACCACGGGCGCAGAATTACTAGGCCTATAGGCACAGGGCGGCCGATCAAGAGCAACCATCCTGCATTATCGTGGTGTGCATCCCAGTGGGCTGTACTGTCAGTAGTTTGAGTATTCTGCCCAAATCGATCCCAATTAGCACTTCAATGACACCAAAAGTAGAGGCAGATTGTGGCTCCACGAGTTGGATCATTCGAAGCGACTGCCATCGGTGGGTGAGGAACGGGACACACTTTGTCCAGTGTTGCCAGCCAGGCAACTCCAAGGATTAACGTTAACTATAGACACCATTGACGCACCTCAATCACATGTTCGAGGCCAGCTGGACATTTTCTGATGTTACGTCGTGCAAAAGACGTTGGGCTTGTGGGAGTGTTATTTACTTCCCCCTTCTTTGGAAGTGTTCCTCGAAGCGGGCTCTGTCTTCTCTACCATAACATTTCAGTACACTGCTATATGATGCGCTAGACGCTGCTTTCCGAATAGTTCCAGTTATATTTGGTTTGAATGATGCCCCTTTTAGAGCTCCGCTACAGCTCAAGCAGACCTTGCTCAAGCGGACCTTTCATTTCTACCCCGCTGAGTTACGTCTGACCGCTTAAGAAAGATGTCGCACAGAGAGCCAGCCTTATGTCACATACGGTCCGCGCCCTGTAGTTGTTCGCGGAAGCGCGATCCTATAACGCGGGTATTAAGGTCGAGCGCCTGCATGACTGCATGGTGCTTGGACCCCGTTGGGGTCAAAGCACACCAGCAGCCTCGGCTACACGGAATTTGCACCACAAAAACAAAAGCTTTCCTTTGTGTATAAAGAGCAGCGCACTGTCGTGCGCTTACAGATAGCTCTTCAAGATAATTCTCATCAATTGACTGCATGCCAAATATGGATGCCGTGGGCACGATCGTCTGACAAAAGATGACCCAATGCCAGCAGTCGCAAACAGCAGAGTTACGCCCAACTCGCATTCATCCCTACTGGATTTAGATATGACTACGCCGGGGCCGGTCGTAGTAACGGGGTTTGACCCACCACGGACGTCACAATCGATTCGTTACGGGCAGCCTGTTCGCTTTTTGAGCACCAAGACACTCACTAGCAACCGCAGAGATCCTGCCGATTCAGGTTTACTTGCCTACAATACTAGCATGGCTCCCTTGCCGATCGCCTGTACCTTTCGGGTTCTTCAAAGCCATTTTTGGGTTCCCAGATGCGAAACAAACGAGCCTGCATTGCCACCCTCTATGCTCGCATTGAAGATGACTCGATTGACTGCCGTGACCGACTCCTCCGTCGACATGGGTCCCGCGAAGTGCGGTGCATACTCCGCAAATTTTGCTGCGAGACGCTTCAATTGCTTCTCCGTGGCTAAATGATCAGTTAGTCCAGGTATTGCTTTGCCTGCTAAAAGCTGGAAATGTTCAAGGCGCGCCAACCTTGGGCATGATGACCAGTTTCTACCAAACCTGGGCTGATTGACATAAAGAGAATACCTTCTTCCCTGCATTGGGCACTATATTTGGCGACTGCAGTATTCAAAGCAGCTTTGCTGATGCTATACGGTCCGGCCATCTCGATGTCATACTGAGAGATTAAATTCATGTCGGCCATACCAGTTGAAATGGCGATTACTTTCTTCGCTTGTCCGTTTCGAATGAGCGGAAGAAAGAGATTGAAGAGATGGATGTTGCCGGTCACATTAATATTGAATGAGACAAAAAGGTCCTTCTCGAGTGCGACTGAGTCTTTACCGCTTGGAGAAAGTTACTACACATGTACCGAATACTTGCGGAGGTCAAATGGATGGCGTATTAGCAAAACTTACAGGGCTTCTAGGTTTTCAAATGCAGACAATTCGGATACAAAACCTGCATTAGCAATGATGTAGTCGAGCTTATTGCTGGTTATGCGGCTTGTTTCTTCTGCCGCGTTCTATGACCCACGGTCAACGTCCGAGGCCTCGCACTGTTCTCGGAGGAGAAAAACAATACCTTTATCGACTCGTAGCTGGCAAGATCCGCTTCCACAAGATGGACGTTGGGCTTGGTGAGCTGGTCCGATGCCGCCCTTACGGCTGCAGTCTTGTTCCTCACTAAGGCTACAACCTTGTTCCGGGAATCATTGGAATACTGGCGTACGAACTCGAGCTACAATAATGTCCTGTTAGTACAGAAATATCGCCCAATAGCTTAGTACTTACTCCGATTCCGCGATTTGCTCCTGTCACAAGATAGGTGGCCATACTCAAAAGCAAATTGGAGTTCCGGGATCCGACGCACAAGCGAGTCGACAAACAATCCGGCTGGGTCGACATGTGCTTTATATATGTGCGTCCTTATCGAACTATTCATAATGAAGATTTAACGGCTCATGCATCCAATGCGCCATGAAGTCCTAAAGTACGGCCAAACAGAATCATCTACCAAGGGCAACTTTGGGCGAGACTAGGGTCTGCGGGGCCCTTTCGCCAACTGCTAGGTCGGCAGCAGAAGTGTAGGCCGGCATCTCGCGTGGATAATAAGCAGGCTGTACGTCTGCAAGGCCTATCAAACTGTAGTGACGAATAGTGCATCGGTGTCCAGGTGTGTCTTCAAGTCGTGACGCCGCCAGCCAATGCGACGGGGGTGTAAGGCGGCACACCGTGACTCAGCGATTGTGTGGGAGCTGCGCGATGAGATTGACCCATGCGTTCGGCGACGTCCAATGGCCTGGGCAGACGCGACACAGCATCAGGTACTTGATGCTGCAACCTGCGCCGTCATTGCCACTAAGCTCGACCGCTCCACAGTCGAACGCTTCCCATGGTCCACGGCTCCACCACACCAGGGACGGTGGGGCAGACCTCGCCAAAAGTTGCCATAGTTAAGCGTGCATGAAAAGCACAAAAAGATTTGGCTGATTTGTAATTTCAGCATCGCGCTTCTTAAAACGGATCAGTTCCCCCCTGCCAAACAGGCAAGTTCTGCCGAGACATATGCCCTGCCACACATGCATTGCGAGCCCTGCGCTGATGAAACTTCCCCCGCGTTGCACATCAATACACGATGAAGCCGACCCGAAGCTGCGGAACTTGCAAGTGTTAGGGTATCGAGCCTGTCTCAAGAGGCAATTGACTGACGGCTGCATACAGACCGGAAGATCCTCTGCGATTGCTCTGTTCCGGTCTGTAAGCGTTGTGTTCAATCGCGCCGGACATGCTCCGGCTACGGACTTCGACTGTCTTGGCCAGGCAGTAACAGGCGAAGCCGCGGCAGAGTGGAGTCAAACCCCGTAGATACTCTTGCACCCGGGCCGTTCAACGAGATTCGGTGGCTCAACACCTCGTTTGCAGACATGGCACTGCACTTCGGCGTTGCAGACGCGGGTCCGAAAGGCATGCACCAGAGGATACCCCAGTGCCCAGGAAAGCGTAGTGTTGACCGTGAACAGGCGCCTACTCAGGAAGACCCAGCTTCAAGCACAATGTTCAGGTGCCGGTTGCCAGCCAGACTAACTGGATTCCTTTCACGCTTGATGATGAGCAAAAAAGGCTGTTAAACCTTTGTAAGATCCTGGTGGAGCAGAGGGCCCTCCGGCCAGCAGAAATCCATTCTAATATTTGTCAGTTGAGACGGTTGCTGCCCGTTCGCTCCCGACCTTTGGCTGCGGATCAAGCGCGATTTGTGGCATTATCATACCAATGGCCTTGTCGGATCATTCTGCCTCCTCAGGAGCTGTGCTACTATCTCTGCTTGCGCTAGCTGCGCTGCACTGCGACGTGCTTCAGCACCGAGCGGAGCGGCTAAAGCTTGCGGCGCTAGATGCCCTGAAGGCATCTGTTCTAGGTAGTGACACCAAGGACCTCATTCGACACGTAGCCGCTGGCATGCTCCTGTGCTCATATGAGGTGAGTCTGGACACTGACTCGACAGTGCTAAGATCACTGACACATTGCGTTGTTACTCATGGACTTACAGATACGGACGAAGTCAAAAACGTCTGGCCACTGGCTGTGGTATCTCTGCGGCACCATGACAATCATTAAGACGGGCCACCTTGACCGGCTGAGCCTGGGCGCCGATGTGAGCCTTCTCCTGGGCTGGACGCAATACTACGTGACCATGGCACGATTCAGCTTGCGCCACTGGGTGCGAAAAGGAACTATGGAGTTCAATTTTGCTCGCGATGTTGGCTACCACGAGATGATGCCGCCAGTTTGCGCAAGACCTACAGTATGTCAGTCTCTGGTCGACGACTCCAAGAAGCCTTCGCTGAGCAGAAACATTGTAGCCTGTCGTTCTGGAAAATATGCCGCATAAATTACTTGGTCTGTTCGGCGCGGTTATTGATACGGTTACCGAACCGACAAAGGCACACTACTACTCTCAAAGCTACCATCGAGAGGTAGAGACGCTGCGGTCGACACTTGAGGGTGCGTTTGTTCCGTTAGGGGATGGTCAAACTACACCTAATTCAACGAGCACTGAGCACGACGATACTACGGAATTGTTCAGATTAGCCACCTTGGTTTATCTAAGCCGCGCAGTTGAGATGGTCCTCAGGCGGCCTGCGAAGCTTGCGAACTGGATTACACGGGCGTTCAGCATATTGGCGAAACTGGATAACATCCAGCATCTACTTCCGCTGTTTGTCTTTGGCTGTGAGGCACGGACCGACGAGCAGAGGATGATAGTCCTGAGATTCGTCGACAAGAGGCAAGAAACCGCTCTAACTCAAAGTACGGTTCATGTCCAAGGCATGATTCAATTCTCATGGGTGCATGATGATCTTGCAGACGAAGACGGAGGCTATTTGAGCAAGCTTAGTTGCGCTATCAGCGCTAGTCCAGTCCTGCCTACTTTTCTTTGATAGGTCGCAACTGGCAACATTGCTGAGAGCGTTGGCAAGTCGTCGTTGAACCGTCTGCCTGCCGCACTTATCATGTCCGGTCTCAGGGAATGTCACTGGTCGTGACGTTGAGCGCCCGTGGATGTTGAAAGCTCTACGCCAGCGCAACCACATCTCATGAGCGCTTCTGCAGTCGGCAAAGGAAGGCAAGCCTTAACATCTGATGAACCTGGCCGGCGCATTAAGCTTCATGGGGACGGGGCCATGGCCTCATAGAAGTGAGTTCGACCCAATTTCGGGTCATTTATAACGAATACCTACCATTCCATACAGTAATCATACTACGCTCAAATGCTGATGGTGCCTTGTAGGTGCTGCACAACCCATGGGCGAGGACGCTTTCATGGGGATAATCAAGCGTTTGTCCAGCCTTGGCGATCACCACGGCGAGGCGTTGATGCATACTAGCCGGCGGAAACTCGGCAAGTAGCTTGATGTTGGGTGCTATGCCAGCCGTCTCGCATAGCTTATCAGGCCCTAATATGAAGCCTGTAACAATATATAGACGCGAAACGACCGCAAAACATCTGGTGTAAGGCTGGGAGAGAGCAGCAACTTGAGCAGCAGCGTACCGTAGTAGCCATGGAGAACTTCACGATGCACCTCGGCGTCAGCACATGGACTTCACCTACCGGGGCGCGGGGTTGATAGAACTGCTATGTCAATAAACAGACGGGCCGGACTTCGACGGCTTCTTGCGACTGTTTGGTCAGGACACTGTTCTAATGCTTTCTCTTACTGGGAAGCGGGAAGCGAGAATCGGCGAAATTGAGACGCATTGCGAATAGGGCACAGGACGTCTTCTTCTGCCCGTTGCAGGAGTCATCACCAAAAGCCGATAAGTTTTCCACTACTCGTGGGGAAGGCGCGCTGTGCCCGCAGCATCGGCGATGAAGCAATTTCCGCAGGAAATAATCTAATTCTACTGCCGAAATGCCATTTTGAACGATCATTACAGAACATGTAAGATACCAACTGGTACACTTATTTGCTACTCTGCCCACATGGCTGCGAAGGTTGTGCCGTTCATGGCACGTGGCCAACGAAATCTGCAAAAGACCTTTGTCTATGGCAATGAAAGGGGAGACATGACAATTCAAGAGCTCAAATTCTGGCCGTGGGTCGAATCTTGCACAGTTTCTACTTGAATGCTGCCTAGGAATACGAATGACTGTGGTCGGCATTTCAAACATATACAGCTTGATGCCGTTGGGCGTAGGCATCTGAGACATGGCGAGCAGGAGATGGCCTGCGCGAAGTTATTCCCACGTTAAAAAAGTAGTGGTGCCGTGAACGTTCTACATGATCGAGCTTATGATGCTGTCACTGGAACACTTGCAGACATCCCGCAGAATAAACGGCGCCAGACGACGACGGAAAGGTTGTAAAGCTCGTGGCACAGGGCGGGCGACATGCGGGCGCCAGCCTGTTGATGTGACGGGTGCTGGCGACCGTCCTGGCGAGGCTGAGTAACTGTGTCTGAATCAGCCTCAGTACTCTTACTATGTGGCAGGGGTTCGTCGTCTTTTCTCTCCTTTTAAAATTGAGTAGTAAGAGAATCGCAGTCGGGAAAAGGCGGGGGACCAAAAGGCTTCGGAGTGGTGTTGGATGCGGACTGTCATGACGGGATTTGGGCCTCACTGCTCTGACACAAGTCATGTCCTCCTCTCTCTCTCTCTCTCTCTCTCTCTCTCTCTCAAAAAAAAAAAAAAAAAAATTAAATATCGAGATTTGTTGCAGAGTCCCCATGACTGTAACAGGCCTACAGAGTCTGCACGCTCATTGCCATTTGGCTTCGCACCTATATAGGCATCATCTCACGATTATGCGGCCTCACAACACGCCTTCCGCACGGCTCACGCATCCATCTCCCGAAGGCTGTGCCGCAACTGCGTCGGTAGGTTTGGGAGAATGCGGCCCTCGAAGCTGCCATTAGATTGCTGCGAAGCGTGACGCCGGGATGGCGGTCCAATGGCAAGCATCGGCTTAGAGGAAAATGGCGACTACCTTCCGGCCACTCAGTGTTCATGATAACCACTCTCTTGCCCGACCTTCCCATCCCTCCTCAGCAATTAATAAGAGCTTATATGATTCCGTCGCTCCCCCAAAGTATTCCGATGTAGGCTCCATGTAGACATGTGGTGAGCTGACTTAAGGATCTCTGACATTGTTGGACGTTGCGCAGCACATGTCTCACATGAAGATGTGCGACTTGACGGCGTCGAACGATACCTATCCGCTAAAACCGATTAGATATTCTGTCTCCTCTAATTAACTCTCATTCTCTCTTCGTTTTGCCCCAGGCGGAGCATAAATCTCCTTTGCGGGTCAGGGAGCCTGCCAGTGAGGCGACGTAGCCCCAACGTGCGGATCTTTTCCATGCTGTTGGGTGGGAAGCTCATGCCAGAACTGCGGCGCGTGCAACTCGGCGAATTCTTGTTGAGTCGAAAGCTCTTGAGGGCGTGAATATGCCGGCAACATTATCGGGGCCGGCGGTTGGTGCCAGCCCTGCGGAATCCCTTGGTTCTCGGTGTCATAGTTGTAGCCCCATCGTGTTGGCTGAGCAGGCATCTCGTGGGCCGAGGGGTGAGTTACCTTCTCGGTAGTCCAGACGCCATTTTGCTTCTTGGTACTCAAGACGAAGAGGATTATGAAGGTGGTGAAGGTCGGCCAGAAGTTGAAAATAACATCCAGTATAGCGAAATAGGCCCCAGGGCTTTTCCGTGCGGACACAGAGTCATCAAGAGGGATGTACTCGGCATAGTAGCCGACGTCGTAGCACGTCTTGAATAGCATGAGAACACAGCATATAATGAGGTAACGCGTAGGCTGCATCGATTCTCAGTCAGCTTTATGTACCGCATAGCGTCTCGGTGCGGGCCAGTTGTCGTACAGTCGTTAACCCCGCGACAGCCCGTGTCGGGGCAGTGACAGCAATAGACTTGACTAGGATAGACACATTGAGGGTCATTTGGATCGCGAGCATCGCAAAGGTGATCTGTCTGAGGTATTTCAGTGCTGTGGGATCGAAGCGATGACCATCGTCTGCGTATTGCTTTTCGCTGAGCGCAAACGAGGCAGTGTTCAAGATGGCAAGGGCTCCAGCGACGCTGTATGCGCCCCATTGGATGAATCGATCGACCGAGGAGACTTTTCCAGTATGGACGAGGTTGACCGCCTTGCCAAGGCTGAGCAGCGTAAGGAAGATACCGATAATGCTGAACTCGCCGAAAAAGGAGCCTAGTATGCTAGTCTGGGTTTGTGCCCTGCGGATATTAAAGGCAGTTACTTGGTCGAGGCTGTCTAGCTCTCTGTAGAGGACGGCGAGAAGGTAGTTGAGGAAGATAAGCACGATGTCTCTGTTCAGAATCATTGATTAGAAAGGCCTAGTCGTGGCGGTTCGCAATCCCGATGAATGGCTCACAGGCAGAAAAAGGCAAAGGCAATTTTGTAATGGCTCAGCCAAGTGCGTGCCGGATCTCTTCGTCTTTTCGCCAAACACAGGGAACATAGAAAAGTGACGACGGTCGGGATTGCAGTAAGTATCAGCAGCGTCGTAGCAGCGATGCCATACTGCGAGGTTTCGTCCATGATCTCGGCGTTGATCGAACTCCTGGTTTGTGGGGAGCTGTAGTTTCTAGGACGGTCTAGGTATTTCTCAAAGCTGCACTGGCAATCAGGACCAGCAATAAATCGGAAAGAAGGGAAAGAGGGGAAATGCGTATCACCGCTGTGCTTTTGGCCTGTCGACTTTGACCTCCGAGTTGTGGCCACGTGAATTCGCCGCCCAAGAAAGCCGTGCGAGGGGATCGAGGGAAGTTAACTGCAGCTCCTCCGTCAACATGTCACAATTTTCATTATTTAAGATTCCTCCCCTTGCTGTCCCGTCGGCCCTGAACAATACATATGGCTGTTTGTCCATAACTCCGGGGGATGCAAGCCGAGCGTCCCGCCATCAGACCCTGGACGATGCCGCCCCTCTTGCTGACAATTATCTTAACGAGGCAAGGATAATGTGCACTTCATCCAATGATGAATGCGGCTCTTGGATCTTAGCGCAGGCGCACAGCCCCATCAATGAATGCCTGTCTGCCCGCTCATGGCAGTCAGCTGCAAAATTGAGTGTGGTTACACGGTTGGCTCAACCCTGTAATGCGATGTTAATGCCGGGACCGTCCCGCGGTCTCTTGCTCCTCTCTACATTGACGGGCTTGCCATATTTGCGAGCCAAAGCTGCAGACGGGCACAATCTGTGCGGCGAGCGACGGCAACGGCGTGCAGGTGTTTAGTCCCACTTCGAGCATGGGTAGCGTGTGATGTGGGCTCGATGATCACAACATGGAGATTGCCAACGTCGCGCAACGCGGGCATACGAACATGAATGCTTTGGGCCTCAAGCCGGCGTCCTTATCATGCTGCAATGCTCGCGCGATATCTTTGCTTGCCTGTCGTCTCCGTTGGCGAAGGAAGGACTCTCGGTGTGACATCTGTGAAGAGCAAGGCTCAACTTGGAGTGGCTGTGCACTGACGGCGCTGTCAAGCACTACAGTCTTCAGGACAGCAGCTATTATGCATAATCAGCTGCATCGCCTTGCTTATGTAGAGTACGATTACTGGTGTGACTCGATGGCGTCCAAAGCGCTAGAATGTTGATGTTATTACTCGTACGCCTTCGTACCTAATGTTGAGATCGTGTGCTTCACCAAATATCGGTCGATGCGAGGCTGACGACCTGTCGGATTCCACCTCTTCTGTGCTGGTTGATCACTAATACCGCGAACTGAACATGGTTCTCCTCACGAAACACGGGTGTTCATTCGACAGCCGCACCTCCCGTAATGGTAAATTGTGGGCCACGTCGGAGATTGAGGCAGGGGCAAATTCGGACCCCGCCTGAAATGTGGCCGCCCAAGCGGTCACAAACCCAAGCTACCAAAGGCGGGTAAGTGAAAGGAGTAAGCATCAGCATGTGTCAGCTACGCACAAGACATAGCTAATGTTGTTGTTCAAACAATCGAGCTTGGAAGCTAATGGTCCCGTCCCAAATGCCATCCCGGATCAATCAGAATCCGGAGGAGACTTGGGCCACATGTCGTAGTTGATAACATCCTCCCACCGCAGGGTCTCGGTCTCGTCTGCCATGGTGTCTCTCGGATGTTGGGGACTGCTTGCGCAGTGGCAGTTGCCGATAGTGAGTCATTGGAGTGCCTGCGCGAGGACCTGTTGTCGGGTAGCCCTTGTCGCTCGGAGCCTCTTTTGCGTCGCCTCCTTCCTGGCCTTGCTTCTCAGATGCTCTTCAAGCTTCGTCGCTGCCCAATTCTGCAGCTGGTCACCGTTTCGCAGACACCAAATCGCAACACTACGTCTACCGTGTGCGTCCTCCAAACAGTCGTGTATGCCATGCGCTGAACGAATAGTGACCCGAAGCAGCTCGTGGCACAACGCTTGTAACCCCAATAGCCGGTGGAATCGTTGGCCTTTCCCAAAGACGGCCTCGGCGGTCAGGATAGCTGTGTCCACAATTCTGGTGTGGATAGTCCGTAAAACGTCAAGGTCATGACCAACCGATTGGCCAACAACAATGGTATTTCGGTCGATGTGTTGCCACAATTCGAACCTCGCCGCTTTCCAACCGCGAAGGGCCTGCTTTGTCGCCACGGCCAACTACAGACTGGTAGGCGTTATACCGTGGCATTTGCTTCGCCAATTTACGTCACTGGCTGACCTGCCCGGGCTCTTTCCCCGCCTGCATGTGGCTTTGTTCGACTGAGATCTATAAAGGAGCCTTCCAGCTCACTATCCACCCCACGTATATCTCGACGCCATGTACTTATTGAATTTTCCACAGTTCAACTTCACTTAGACAAGCACACGACCCGACATGGACTCGACACTTATGGTCTCCAGTTACCCTTTTGAGCTACGAGCCCTCAACGGCGAGAATTCGCTCGCATCGAACCAGCTCGCTGGCCAATGGGGCGACACGTATTCGCTGAACGATGGCTTGATGGCGAAGGAGCAAGAAAGCCTTCTACCGTCTGCAGGCATATCTGGAGGAAATGACTTCTCTTTGAGGTGCATAGGCGGGACCATGGCCGACCTTAACGTTGGCAGGTGTGGCACGAGCACGAGCACGAGTGGCGACACTATGAGCAATATGCAGCTATCCGACCCGTTCTACGCCCAAACGGCCAGTGCTCCCCCCAGAAACTCGTCGCCCGGCAGCATCAGCAGCAGCTTGCCAGAAGAGATGGCTCTCGACAGCAGTCAATCCTCCGACCCTCCATCGCCAAGGACCAAACCGACCCCAGGCAAGAAGCGCGGTCGCCCACGCAAGACGCAAGCAACTGCCAGCACCGCGAACGTTGACGGCGGCATCAACACTAGGACTAGCCGCCAAACCAGTACGAGAAGCGCAGCTGACGCCTCGGGCGGAGAGGACACGAAGACGGTACGCGGCCGCGAAAAGAACCGTATCGCCGCCGATAAGTGCCGTTCGCGGCGACGGCAAGAGGAGGACAAGCTTAAGTCTTGTCACGAGGATCTCGAGCACGAGCATCGCAGGCTATCCGGGGCGCTATCGGAGCTAATGGCGGAGACGTTTGTTCTCAAGAATATGATGGAACATGGCAGTTGTGACTGCCGACTGATCCAGGATTACCTGAAGGAGTCGGCGTCGGAGTGGGTGGCCAAAAAACTAAAGGCATCAGCCTCACCTGTCGGAGCAGTCGGGGAAGGTCCAGCGACTAGTACTAAGAACGTGAAGTCCTCTTAGAGGAGCCATTTGCGATGCGGTCGATGGCCAAGCCACCGATTGCGCTCTCCGCAATATGCCTCCCTCGATTTCGATCCTCCCCCTTATTAACGAGCGCGTCCACCGCTGCCGCACCTACGGCGGCCGTAACGGCGCGACTTGACCGATCCGGGTTGTGCCGCGCCCGGACTGCCTCCACCAAGCCTGCCGCCGCTGCGGCCGCTGCCGCTTCGGCAAACCCGTTCCCGCTAGACCCTCCCGCGCCCGAGTGTTGGCGACGGTGATGGTGGTGGTAGCGTTGGCGCGAATGTTGGCCGTGATGGTGACGGTCGAGCTTCTCGTGCCCGTCTACCGACCTCGACCTTGTCGGCCTCGCGGCAGGGTCTCGATCATATGTGTACTGCCCCCTCTCGTCAGTGCGCTCAAGGCTGTTTCCTCCTCGACGGCCGTGGTGTTCTCGGCGGCTGCCGCGCTCGTGGCTGTGGTGCCTGTGCTCGGATGTAGGCATCAGGGCGGACTTGGCAATATCTCCGGCCTCGTGCACGCAGCCCTGCTCTAGAGCGTCGAAAAACCCGTCGGTCCTGTGCCGCGATGTCGATCGCGGGCGGCGATGGTCACAGCCAAGGTCATAGGGATCATCATAATAGTCTTCGTGACGGCGAGGCATGGCGGTCGTAAATGGGGCCGGTTACATCGAGCTTGGACTTGCCCACTACAAGCACGGAAAGGAGTGGTGGAGTCGACCGTTGCCTCAAACTCAATTTGCAGGGCGCTTCCAGACAAGGTTCGAAACGATCAAGGGTCTGTGGCGACGGGCCTCGCTTCAGGGACACGAGAAGGTAGGTCTATATACGCTATAAAGGACTTGGACCTGGGTTAGAATGTGATCTCAGGCCTCGACATACCCTCGCCACAGCGCAAGACTTGCGAGCTGGTGATGTTTTTTCCCTTCGCGTGCTCACTCTGCAGTTCCAGCATAAGCTCTAGCGACGGTGCGGCGTATTCGTACCTCGCGCCCTGTCGCAGGTTTGCTTCGCCGCTCATGCAACATGACGTATGTGTCGCAGCAGCGGCCGCGTTGCAGTGTGGCGCGGGTCGAAGGGGCCAGCCTGCTTCGGTTGCCCCATTCACGCCCGCGGCCCAGTGGTGTAGAGGCACAGCGTCGCAACACGTCACAACGACGACATGTTGCAGCAGCTTGTGGTGGGAGGCGCCTCGGGACAGTCTCTGGCAGAAACGATCGACTGGCCGCGGGGCTGCTCCCATATCTAAACCCTTTGGAGTAACTTGTGCTGATCAGACCAAAACACGGTATCGAGGACACTCTCAGAGGGCGCCCAGTTCTGGTGCTGGTGCAGCGGTTGTACCGGGAGCTGGACCTGTCCGCACGCAAGCTATTAATACTGTGTCCAGCGCTAATAGGGTGAGGCCAGTATTCTACCAACATCGCTTTGACGGCCTGCGCGAGGGAACATTAACTGGTCAATCCCCAAAAGTCGTTTGTACAAACAGAGTCCCTTGCTTGTCTCCGCGGAAACGTCGGGGAAGAGACGAAGAGAGGAGGGCGGACGTTTGGGTTCTTGCCTCCCAGTCAAGATTGATCCGAGAAACCCATGTCAGTTGCATTCTCACTGAGACGTACGCAGGCCGGCCCGCCCAAACGACCCTGCCAGGCCGCCCGCTGGGTACCAGAACTTGGCAGTACTGGTACCTACTCTGCCTCCTGGCCCCAAGGTTCAGCCAGAAAAGGTCACTGAGGCTGCTGGGGTGGAACACCAGGGACCAGCTGCTTTTACCACTTTCGAGCGCAGAACCAATCAATGTACGTCGCACCGAGTACCCTGCACCTTTGTCGCCGCTCTCGGCGAATCCCGTAAGCATGCCGACGACAGTATTTCAAGAGAAGATCCTGGTCCTGGTCTGCTGTGTCGTCGGCGAGGCGGCAAACAAAAAGCCCGTGACCTTACTTTGCCTCACATCGCGTTACGTCCAGCCAAACAAGTTTTTTATCACTGGGTCTGACGGCATACCTCATCACCATCTGCATGGCGCCGCTTTCAATTGCGCAGTTAACCCATCGGTGTACAGCGGCATCGTCGTCACGAGCTTCAGCTGTATGCTCCAAAGCAAAGGGCCCGCGACAGGCCAGACATGCCTCGACGACATCAGGTTCGCATGGCCTGCCAACGCTGCAGGAAAAAAAGAGCAAAGGTGAGTGCTCATAGATGCCCGGGGCACGCCACAGTATATTCTTTCTTTGGCGAGACATTGCCCATCTTTGCGTCTGCAACCTTTCGTCGGAGTCTTCTCCGTGCTCTATGTCGCAAGCTCATGCCACTTGCAACTCCCCCGTCGGTCGCACCTCACCGGATGCACAAGCACCCAATTTCGTGGCGACGTCCAACCTCTACTGACCCATCTGATTCTGTTGCAGTGTGACGGCGAGGACCCCTGCGAGAGATGCAAGGAGGCAGGTCAAGAGTGCGTTTTCGACCACTTCCGGCGAGAGTCCAAGGACGACCTGCGCGCCGAGATTGAGCGGCTGCGACACACCAACGAGCGTAACGATGCGCTTCTCGACACGCTCTCCTCCATGGACGATGCGGACACGTATCACAAGGTAGCACAGGGCCTCATGGACAGTAGCGTCTCCCGCCAGTCCATTTTTAACGACCTCCCCACCCACCTCAAGGTCTCTGGACTGCCCCAATCTATTCCCGCTGGCGTCATTGCGTCGTCTCTCCGTCGGAACTCGCAGGCCACCTCTACTGCCGGAGCCTCCAGTACCGATGTCCGGCCAGTAACATGTCCGCATTGTTTCGGCAATTTGCCGGCTCCGTCTTCGCTAGCCGATAGCGACGAATGTTCTGGGCGGACAAGCGAGCGCCACTCGGTGAAATCGCAGTCCGAGGCCAACTGGCTCACGACGCCGGGCTCTGCTGCCGGCTCCCCCTCCCTTCCTTCGTTGTCTGGGGACGAAAAGCTGCAGCAGCTCGCGTCTTAGACGCGTACTGGGTGGTCGGTCGACACGATCAGGACCCATCTTGAGTCGCTCCTGACGTGGGACTACCTGCCCTTCTGTTTCCTCTGCAAGGACCCCTTTCTGCAGGACTTTGCAAGCGGAGAGGGGTGTTACTGCTCTCCTGCGCTGATCAACTCCCTCCTCGCTCTGTCGACAAGAATCGTGGACAGACAGTCAGGCCTTGTTCGACGAGGCTGATGCTCTCATAAGCGGACACAACCAGCCGGGTAGCCTCCCGGATATCCAAGCTCTTGGCATGCTGGCCCTTTATCAAGTGGGCTGTGGTCACGAGGCCGAGGCGAGAGAGCTTGACGAGGCGTTTGCGGCAGCGATTACAGAGTTATGCCTGAAACAACCGGTTGCCGCAGACAGCCAGGACAAGCAGTACGCCCTGGTTCGCGCGACGACATACTGCGGAGCCATCTCGCTCGTCCGGTATGTAGTTTTGGCCCACTCGTCCGCCTCTATCGACGAGCTGACTGGAAGTGTCTCCTCCCTTGTCGCACAGAATTCTCAAAATCATAACAGCCCAGCCTTCTGGGATGCACGTCACACTGTTGCAGGACGACGGGGTTGCCCTTGACCAGCCGCCCTGCGCCTACGGGCTGAACAACGCGTCCGTCCCGTCTCGCGAATCGCGTGAGTGTCAAAAACATCAGCCCAAGCACAGAAACCACCCAGCATGGAGCGCTGACCGCGCCAAGACAGTTTCACTAACGGGCGAGCCCGTGTCTCAACTCAGCAGCCTGCAACTCATCCCGGCCAAGATTCTCCAGCTCACCGAATGGGTGTACAAAGTCCTCGCGTCGCCACAAACCGCCACTAATGATGAGCTGGTGCTGGTATACCATCGGTGTCTCGACTGGTACGAGAGCTTCTTTGCCATGCTAAAGACAGACGGAAGCAACTCGCCGTTTGTGCTTTTCATCCAGTAAGACCCCGCATACGATCGTCGAATGTGGCCCAGGACATGCACTCTTGCCGACATATTCGTGGAGGCATCTGTGACTGCGTCACTGGCTGGTGGTCCACGTACAACGCTAACACTTTGAATGCAGTATGTACTACCAGTTCTGTCTGCTCTCCCTTTTCAGGCCCCATGTGAGCGCACTTCTCGAAGGACTCAGCGCGCATCCCCGCGAGATTTGTCTACAGGCGGCATAGTCAATCCTTGCGCTCTCACAGTCGTACGCTGGCGTGTTCGGCCTGCAGCGGGTATCTCCGCTGGTGCCGTACTTTGTGTGTGCGGCGGGGCTTTTAAGTCTCGCCGTCGAGGAGGCCGGACACGGTATGCTCGAACCCGTGCCCAACCACAGCTCCACAGAGACGACGATATCGCCGTCAAGCCGCCTAAGTCCCCGGAAGACACGATCAAAGGAGCTCGATGATGACCCTATGGACGTGGGCACGTACCACAGCTACGCATCAGACACCAAATGGCACGCGGCACCATCGTACGTCAATATGCCGGCAGTGGCGCACGCGCGACTGCTGCTGTCCAAGGTGAGCGAGGTGCACCCTGCGGCCACCCTCGCTGAGAGCATGCTTCACAGGGCGCCTGGCAGGAACTAAACTGGCACATCGATGTATGATGGACGCGCCACAACTCATGCAGACTAGCCTCACGGAAAGCCCGTCGGACAAGGGAAACGGCATGAGGGGGCGGAGTTAATGCTGCGGTCAGGGCAGCAATTCAAGATTTTTCTCCCAAAGTGCAGCGTTGCATTGCTGCATATGATGATGACATACGACCATTTTAAAGAACAAAAGCAAATATCAGCGAGGCGCACGGTAGGTATCACGGCACGGGGGGAACTTGATGACAGCTCTTGTCAGGAGGTCTGGGTAGAGAGCGGCCCGACACACTTTACTGGCAACTTTTCATAGAACAAGGTCTACTGCGAAAGGACAGGCTCTTTGAAATCAAGATCCACGACCTTACTGAGGCGGAGAGGGATGAACTCGAATCCATGCTTCAAGACTTCGTGGCAGGGCTCGACAAATCGAGGGTACAGTCTACTCGGCGGCACGGTGATGCACTTTCAGATGCCGGGGGTGCACAGGGACATTCCATATCCGCATCAGCTTCCATGCGTGCACCCTCATCTGCCACCCACATGCGACATCCGGACTCGGCCTATGCTACACTGACTAACGTAACACATACCCCCAGCGGGTCGACATATCCTGACACATCGGGGCTGCAACTCGGATACCGGGAACGCCAGAACGAAGATCACGCGTCTGGCTTCGGCCCCAGCTTGTATGAGCGAGATGCAGCGAGTGGCGTGGCCAAGAAACATTCAGTTGGGGGTATGGATGAGCGGTTCGATGATCGCAATGACAAATTTGCGCGACCAGTTCCTTGGACGTCAAGACGAACGGCCACCTCCGATGTCGCCTCGTCTACCGCCGTTGGTAGCTTTCATCCATACCAACCCCGCGATGACAAGAGGAGACCAATAATAACTTTAGTCTTGATGACGAAACATTCACAATTGCCTTCATAAGTGCCATCGCGGGTCTAACACATCTTCAATCTAACACTCTGTGGCTGGAGACGCAGCCATGGCAGGGCAAGTCACAATGCACACACGCGAAGTTGGAGCGCCGCACCCAACCAACGCCAGGGCGGCAGGACATCAGCCTGTGCAATGCCTGCGGTATGACACAAAGGCGCCTCATCGACACGGCGCCGGCGTTTGAGAGTTTCCCAGCAATCCTCCTCGCTCGCCCGCTTGGCCTGCAATTGTCCTAAACCGCTGCGACGCCTCAGCCACAGCAGCACGATGGAGTGAGCGAGTGGCTGGTGCTTCCCTTTCGGTGTCGTTGCCATTGCGTCACCGTGAGATGCCCTATGCCGCGCGGGCCAGAGTGACGCGCGTTGGCGCAGTTTCGCGCGCCATCCTCTTCGCTTCAAGCCGAGCCAGTGTGGCTTGTCCTTGGAAAAACCGGGCTGCCGGGCTGCCGGGCGTGGGAGGAATAGACGGTAATCTGACGTTTGCGCTCCCATGCCATGACATGTTTGTGTCCGTGGATGGATGGGGACCCCCAAAAACTTGTTTGCCGTCGCCGGCATGTGGACATATAAATCGGTGAGCGGCGGGCGTGGCGGCTCGAACGAAGTGTGCATGAGAAAAGAGTGTGAATCAATACTCTAATGGCAAAAGTCTGAATCGCCAATCATGCCGATCACAAAGAACAAGGAGGCCGAGACCCAGGCCCTGACCCTGGCCGAGGAGAAGAAGCAGCCCCAAGTCTGTAAGTTGGCCCTGCCAATGTCTTGGCCCATCCCGTAAAGTAGACTCTAACCCCACCTTTCAGCCGCCCCCGAGGCCGCGGGCGCCGACCCGCAGACCGTGCCCCGGTCGTCCGCCGCCGGCATCGTCAACAAGAAGGGCGAGATCGTCGACGAGTCGGACAAGGTCATCGGCAAGGTCTCCGACTCCAAGGATCTGCAGAGCCTGGTCGGTAGCTGCGTGACCGCTGAGGGAGACGTCATCAACGAGTCGGGCGACGTCCTCGGAAAGGCCTCGCTCGACAGCGAGTACACCACCCAGGCCACCGAGGAGGCCAAGGACGCCGCCCAGACCGTGAGCAGTGTACGCAGACCTGTCAAGACTGCCTTCGCCCTCAACAGGGACCTCGCTAACGCGTACAATCAGCTCTCCGGCGGCAAGGGTGGCGATGATGCTGAGAAGAAGAAGCCGTCGAGCGGGAGCGGCGACGACACCCCGTCCGAGTCTGCCAACGACGACGCCAGCAAGGCCACGGAGCCCGTCAAGGACGACGCCGGCAAGACAGCAGAGTCCGTCGACGACAAGGTGCCTTCCCCCGTCCAGCTCCAAGACAAGGAGGCCCCCCCAGCTGACGCCGCGTCCGCTGGCAAAAAGACCAAGGAGGAGAAGGGGACCGTCCATGGAGGTAATACCCCCGCCGAGAAGGTCGGCCAGGACGACCTGACCGAGCAGGCCCCCAAGCCCATCGACGAGTCCGCAGAGGGCACTACCGAGGACGCCTCGAAGGTTGCAGGCGACAAGACTGAGCAGGCCGAGGACACCGCGGAGGAGGCAAAGGATACCACTGAAGACACGCCTGAGCAAGCAAAGAACACTGCAGAGGATAGGGCGGACAAGGCCAAGGAGCTCACAGACGAGGCCCAGGAGGCTGCCAAGGACATCACGGACAAGGGCGAGGACGCAGGCAAGGACGCTGGAGACGTTCCCGAGGGTGACAAGCCCGGCGACGACCTCCCGGAGGGTGAGGGCGCCAAGGATGCCGCTGAGGGCGTCGGCGAGCAGGGCGAAGGCGTCACCAAGGAAGGTGAGGAGGCCGGCGAAGCTGCCCAAGACAAGGTCGGCGAGGCCGGCGAGGAAGCCGCTGAGAAGGCCGATGAGGCCGGAGAGGAAGCCGGCGAAAAGGCGGAGGAGGCTGCCGAGGAGGCGCCCATCGACTTCTCCGTCCTCAAGGGCACCAAGGTCAACAAGGCCGGCAACCTCGTCGACGACAAGGGCGACATCATCGGACGCCTGTCCGAGGGCGACTCTAAGAAGCTTCAGGGCAAGACGGCCGACGAAGATGGCAACATCTGGAACGACTTGGGCAAGATCGTCGGCAGGGCGGAGCCCATCCCTGACAGCGAGCGCGAGAGCTCCAACAAATTGTTCGCGCCCTTCCAGAACTTCCCCGACGCCGTCGTCGAGGCCGACGGGCGCGTCACCTCCGAGAGCCGCCAGGTCGGCACTGTCGTCGAGGGCGACCCCAAGCGCCTCAAGGGCAGCAAGGTGGACGAGGACGGCGACATCCTCGACCGCCGCGGCAACGTGGTCGGCAAGGCCGAGGCCTGGGACGAGCCCGAGGAGGAGCCCGAGCCGGTCGTCGACCGCTCGCTGCTGGCCGGCAAGCGCGTCAACAAGGCCGGCAACGTGGTCGACTCCAACGGCACCGTCTTCGGCCGCGTCATCGAGGGCAATGCCGCCTCGCTCGTCGGCCGCATGTGCGACAAGGAGGGTAACATCATGAGCGAGTCGGGCGACAAGATCGGCAAGGCCGAGCTGGTGCCCGAGGGCGAGCGCGAGGGCTCCAAGGAGGGGCCGTTTGCCGAGCTCAAGGGCTGCACCGTCGCCAAGGATGGCAAGGTTGTGACCTCGTCGGGCGAGGTCGTCGGGCGGCTGACGTCTGGCGACCCCAAGACGCTGTACGGGCGCTCCGTCGACGAGGACGGCGATGTCGTCGACAAGAACGGTAACGTGGTGGGCAAGGCCGAGCGCTGGGAGGAGCCCGAGGTCGAGAAGCGCCGCGACCCCCTCGCGGGCCGCAAGGTCAACCGCGAGGGCAACGTGCTCGACGACGACGGCCACATCATCGGCAAGCTGACGAGCGGCGACGTCAGCATCTGCTCCGGCAAGGAGGTCGACGATGACGGCGACGTGGTCAACTCCAAGGGCAACACTGTCGGCCACGTCACGCTGCTCGAGGACATCCCCGGCGAGTCCGAGGAGGACAAGCAGAAGCGCGAGCAGGCCGAGAAGGATCAGAAGCTGGCGGGCCAGCTCGCCGGCGCCATCGAGCAGTCGCTCGAGAAGATCCGGCCCATCCTGAGCTTGATCACCAGTAAGGTCGACGCGGCGGAGAAGACGGACAAGGAGGACCTCGACGAGGAGCAGCTGGTGCGCGAGGTCAAGCCGCTCATCGAGGAGGGTGGCAAGATCCTGACCGAGACCAACGGCATGATCCGCGGCATGGACCCGGACGGCCGCATCCAGCGCCAGGCCAAGCACAAGTCGGCAACCAAGGACGCCAGCCCGGAGGAGCACCACCTGGCCGACGTGCTCAAGGAGGTATGTATTCTCTTCGCCACTGATGATCGACGACGTATGCCGCTGCTCGCAGTTGGCATGCGCTCGATCGAGTGTCTTTCTATGCAGATCGCGGCTAACACACCACGTGAAAGCTCACCGGAACCGTCACCCAGACCATCGACAACGCCAAGCGCAAGATCGACGGCATGCCCCACGCCAAGAAGGAGCTCAACCCCCTCTGGGGCCTGCTCTCGGAGCCGCTCTTCCAGATCCTCGCCGCCGTCGGCCTGCTGCTCAACGGCGTGCTGGGCCTTGTCGGCAAGCTCCTGAGCCCCCTGGGCCTCGGCGGGCTCGTCCACGGCCTGCTCGGCAGCCTGGGGCTCAACAAGATCCTCGACGGGCTCGGCCTCGGCAGCGCCCTCAACGCCCTGACCGGGAAGAAGGACAAGCCCAAGCAATGATTGCTGGGTGTTTGATGTCGCTCGACATGGTCGCCGTCGCCGTCTGCCCCGTCGAGGCTGGACAGCGTTTGTGTTAATGAGTGGTTAAGTTATATGTAACGTCTTTGGGGGAATTGAATTGGTGTACTCCGTATTAATGGTCTGATTAGCCCCTAGTAATCGCCTCTACCGCAAATACATTCGGACTCAGAACTGGATGACACTCGGAGGGCCAGACAGGGTATTTTGACGGTCCAGGACACTCCGTCTTTGCGTTACCCAAGTTACATCCGCACGTGGATACAATCCCTGCGGTTTTACTTGCCACCGGAACTTGACAGAACTGAGGGTGCTGCAATGGCAGGTTGCATCTGGGAGCTCTGCCGTCTCCGCTTCGGTTGAGCTTCCTGCTTCTCTTCATCACATATGGTCTCCCATTCTGACCGTCGCCTCCGTATGCTAAGTTGCCTCCTGCGACCGGCTTGCCGCACGCCTGACTGTTTGCCCGACCCAAGGACAGCTGACTTGTGAGTGGGCTTTCTGTCCGCCCCAGCCTTGCCCATTGCTGCCCGACTACGGCTGGAGGGCCGAATTTTCATGCTCTTGGGAACAGGCTGTGTTGTATTCTTCGGTTGGCCTCAAAGGCATGCTGCAATCTTGCGTCGAGAATTCGGCGTTAGGGATTGCGCGAAGTTGGCTCCCTATGTACAGTAATGTAACTGATGGCGCGAGACGCGTGATGTTGCACATAGAACACATGAGATGTTGCTCGGCGTGCAATCCTGTCTATTGCATAGAAATGGACACACCTCCACGTAACGACGTCGAGAAAGTGACATGACCTGTAGCAGCCGACGACAAGCAGAGACTGGACGGCAGGAGGCGACGGACACGGCAGCACGAAATGCCACCAGACGACGTCAGGAAACCGACTTTAGCTGCGACATAGCGTGCACCCGAAGAATGTGCCAAGACCGCTGTGCAACGGTGATCTGCTTGTCACGCTTTGCACAATGTCCGCCACTGCCATAGTCGACACTTAGACGGCACAAACCCCTGCGACTTCGTCTCGGCTCCACATCAGCGAGCGGCATGTCTGGAATTAGACGACGCCGTCCACATGAAGGAGTGGACGAACCAGTAGCCATGGCATCTTGTCCGTCTTCGCGCCCCGCATGGCGACCGTCGTCCGATCTGAATGTCGACGGCCCAGTCGGACAATCCGGCCGCCGCGACTCCGCAATGAACTGCACGGCAGGGGCAGATGACGTCGGCGCTCATTTCGTTTCGCGCCCTTTGGCCGCCCCGCCTGTCTGTATCGATAAGCAGGTGGTAGGCTTCTAGTTGCTCAGCACGTCTTGTGCCCCGTCTTGGGGACCTGAGCGTCCTAAAGGTCGCCGGACGCAAAAATACTTGTCCAAATTACGCCGTTCGACTTACAGCCCGACGGCCTGCCCAATTTGCTGAATAGAATACCTGGCCGCGCTCTGGCAACCGCCGCCCTCGTGGATCAGCCATGACCGGCGGATACACATCCGCCAAGCCTTGCGCCTTCACGAGCGGCACTTGTCGGCGGCGAGACGGTTCTTGTCAGGGAGGCGTAGTGTCTTCGGGTCGTCTGAACCAGAAGCCCCGGTGTCGCTTTTGCTGCTAGTCCGGCACCTGGCCTTGGAGTCTGCATCGGCCTGGGCGGCCTTGGCGGGCGGCCTCGCCTTTCGTGGGCGGCCTCGCGTCTTAACTCCGGTCGGTCTCGCCGTTGGCGAGGATGACTCGGAGGACGAGGCGCTGTCGATAGCCGCGTTTTTCCTGGAAGTTGAGCGCTTCAGCTAATTGACCGAGGTGATGTACAAATTTTCGGTGATCCCCAGACTTGAGGTGCGTAGGCACAGTCTCACCTTAATTAAGGCGCTTCCAGACAGGGTTGGCTTCGGCAAACGAGCCGTCGTTGGGCGGAGCAAATGGTCCGGTGGTGCTGCGTACGACCAGCGCTAAATATTCGCTGGGAGCGCTGTCCGCCCGCCAGTACGGGCGGCGGCACGGGTTTCCCAATCATTTTCCCCCGGTAGGAACGTCCCGTCAACCGAGTGGATAAGGTCTGCAATCGTTGCCAAAGTCGTCTCGAGTTTGCGTCATCCCACCCAGGGCTTTCCCCCTCCAAGTATGGCAATCGCGATCCCTTTGCCCCCAAAGTTCAGCGCTTTGCGCCCTGCTTATGGATCTCGGCTCATTGGTTTGGTATCATCCCGCGACCGGGCCAGCTCACGCTCCTTCCTCCACCCATTCTTACGCGATGGGAAAGTTGTGTATAAAACGGTACTCTCAGCAGCAAAGGCCCAGCTGTCCATGGTAGGCAGTTTGGTGTTCAAAATCCCCAGCAGTCGACACACTGGACAATTTACGTCAGTCGAGATGAACTCAACCCTACTGGCACCAAATGTGTCTGTAGATCCACGACCCCGCGACAACGACAGGTCGATTTCATTTAACCAGCTCGACTGCCAATGGGGTGGCGCATATTTGTTGGATGATGGTCTAGAGATGTCGGAGCAAGAGAGCTTTCCAGTGTTTACGGACGTGGTGGTTGGAGGCAATGACATCTCCTTGACATGTCTGTACGGAACCATGGCCGACCCAGATGCTGGCAAGAATGCTATGGGCGAGCGCAGCAACAACGGCGTACAGTTTCCCGATCTCTTCTACACCCGAGCGAGTAGCAGTCCTAGCTGCAACTCATTGCCCAGTAGAAATAACAGTATCTTGTCGGAAAACGTGGCTATCGACACTACCCAATTCGCAGAGTCGCCCACGCCGAAGACGAAGCGGACCACAACTAAGAAGTGTGGCCGGCCTCGAAAGACGCAGCCGGCCGCCAATGCCGCGGCAGCACCCAAACCTGACGCAGGCGCCAAATCCAGGCGCCGAGCCAGCACCAGGAGCGACGTTGAGGCTTCCGGTGAAGACGACCCGAAGGCGCTACGCGTCCGCGAAAAGAATCGCATCGCCGCCGACAAGTGCCGCTCACGGCGGCGGCAAGAGGAGGACAAGCTCAAGTGCAGACACGAGAATCTCGAGCAAGAGCATCGTAGGCTCTTGGAGGCGCTATCAGAGCTGGTAGCGGAGAAGTTACTTCTCAAGAACATGCTTACGACGCATAGCAGCTGTGACTGCCGGCTGATCCAAGACTATCTGAAGGAGTCGGCGTCGGAGTGGGTTGCTAAAAAGCTGAAAGCGTCAGCCTCACCTTCCGAATCGAGACCATCTTGATGTTGAAATTGCAAACTGGGCGGGCTAAGGAGTTTCAATGGTCACGAGAATGTTCGTGCGGTAAGGTGTTCCGGGTGGATTAGGTATCCATTTGGGTCTGTTCATGTTGTCTGTCATTGCTAGCCCAGAACTGGAGGCGAAGTCGCCCTGACGCCCAAGGGGAGCGGCCACGATACGTTCAGTCACATTCATGTGGCAGGCGATTGCAACTTGAAGCGGAGGCGCGTACTACGACCAAACGTCTTTATTTTCATTACGGGTTGCAAGAATTGCACTAGCGTACGTTTTGGGCGTACTTCTTTTCACGGGATATGCAATTGTGCCAACGCTGTGCTAAGCGCAGCTTGACGTGCAGCGGGCGGCATCCACCAAGACCAATGTCTTGAACGCACGGTTTGCAAGACATATCCAACATCACGTCTCAGCCGCACAACATGATACTGGGAATAATCGTGGTCACCGCCCGCACATGCCAATTGCCTCGGCCTACACGATGGCCTTGACAGCATCGATTCAGCGTCGAGGCAAGGGGCTTAGGTGAGGTCAGGGCGTAGCCGCTGTTGCTCAGAACCCCTACTGTACCCACCACCCTGAAAGCTAGAACGGCGACCCCTGCCGCACAGACTCAGTTCGCAGCACTGTTGAGCTACAAAGCGTCCGGCCCAGGGGCTCAGGTTGGTCTAAAATACGCCAACTTGAAGCGAGAGTAGGACGCGATCATGGGCCTCGGCCGTTGCCGCGACACAAGCACTTCGCGCCGGTGATGTTTTTGTTCGCGTGCCGGTCCTCCCGGAACCCTTGCATAGACCGTACCGACAAGCTGTGAGCTCCTTATCTCACAGCCATAAAGTGTTATCCTTCCGTCAATCTGCTATGGCCTGTGTCGCCTGCAACGGCCGGCGCCTCGCATCATGGCACAAGACACATGGCGAGCCAGCTTCGGCCGTCCGCCCGCTTTATGGCGCAATGCCACAGAAGGATGCGCCGCAACATGTCACAATGACGACATGGCGCCACACTTTGTTCGCGGGGATCCCGCCATCTAAGCTCAGTACGGTGTCAGCAACATACGCGCTGGAGGAGCCCATTGGAGCCATTGCAGCCTTAGTGCAGCAATTGTAACTTGAAGCTCGGGCCTTCGGGGCTGTCTCACTGCTAATGGCTCATTATGTCTATGGCACGGCCAGTGCTTCGCTCTCCATTGCCCAAGTGGGAGGAATGCTTCACTCATGACCCCTTTTATATGATCTTGAACAGCAAACCCGGTTTCCGCTCTTCTCCGCGGGACGGGGAAGGGCTAGCCCATGTCTCTGTCGCAGTCCCCGCCCAGACATGTGCATTCCTGCCCAATCAAAACGGCTGTGAGTTGTCGTGGCTCATTCCTGGCTGGGAGGTGATCAGCGCAACATGCAGTGATTTGGTTTGGTGATGATCCCTGCTCCGTCGCCAGAGCATTTGCAGTCAACCAAGCCTAGGCCGGTACAATGTGTGGCGTCCGGAGACCGCACTTCGCCACACATTGCACATCACGTACCCCAGCAGCCTTTTTTTTACCTTACGAGATCGCAATACACGTCACCCTCGCTCATCGATGTGAGATTCTGGCGCTTTCAATTGCGCAGTAAATCGACATTTCTTTTTAGGTGTTCTTGACGTCAAAGCGGAGGCGAGAGCGACATGCCCCATCGACACCAAGTTCGCATGGCCTGCCAGCGCTGCAGGAGAAAAAGAGCGAAGGTACGCAAAGACTTATAGTGCGCCCCAGTACTTCAGCAAAGCCATTCGTTTGTGCAGCGCTGTCCGCCACGCATCCACTTTATGGCTCTGAGTATCCGTGATGCTGATTCCGACCATTTGCAGTGCGACGGTGAGGATCCTTGCCAAAGGTGCAAGGACGCAGGTCTCGAGTGCGCCTTTGACCACTCACGGCGGGAGTCCAAGGACGACTTGCGCGCCGAAATTGAGCGACTGCGGCGCATTGGCGAGCGTAACGACGCACTCCTCGATGTCCTGTCTTCCATGAACGATGCAGACACTTACAACACGGTGGTACAACGCCTCATGGACAGCGCCGTCACGCGCGACTCCATCTACAATAACCTCCCCGACCACCTCAAAGCCGTTGGACAGTCCGTACCCATTCCAGCCGGCCTTATCACACCATCTTCACGTCGTAACTCGCCGGCCACCTCGTCCGCAGCGGCCTCCAGCAGCAATGTCCGGCCGGTGACGTGTCCGCATTGTCACGGTGCGTTGCCGGCTTCATCATCTGTGACCGATAGCAACGAATCTCCCAGGACGACCAGCGAGCGCCGCCTATCAGGGGACGCGCAGTCCGAAACCAACTTTCTCACGATCCCAGCCTCTGCTGCCGGCTGTGTTCCATTGATACCAGTGGTGCTGTCATTGACAGGGGCGGAGAAGACAAAGCAGATCGATCCCTGGACCCGCACTGGATGGCCCGTCACCAAGATTAGGGACCGCTTTAACTCACTTCTGACGTGGGATTATTTGCCGTTCTGTCTCCTCTGCAAAAATCCATTCTTGCAAGATTTTGCCAGTGGGGATGGACGCTACTGCTCACCAGCGCTTGTCAACTCACTCCTCGCCTTGTCAACCCGGATCCTGGACGAGCGCCAACATCCTCAACAGCAACAGCACCAGAAAGAGCAGCAAAAGTGCCTCGCTAAAAGTGATGCCGATTGCGGATTCCCCCACTCTGGTTGTTGGGACAGTCAGGCTTTGTTCGATGAGGCTGAAACCCTCATTAGCGGAAAAGAACACATGGGCGCCCTCCCAGATATTCAAACCCTAGGCATTCTTGCCCTATACCAAGTCAGTTGCGGTCGCGAGGCTGAGGCGAGGGAGCTTGCGGAGGCATTTAAGGCCGAAATTACCAAATTATGCCTCCGGGAACCCCTCGACGTGGGCAAGCAGGACGACCAGTACATGCAGGTACGCTCGACAACGTACTGCGGGGCTATATCACTCGTCCGGTACGATGTCCCGGCTTCTTTTCTGCTTCTACTTTAGACGTCACCGGGGTGCTAATTGGGATCGTTTTGGGCAGGATACTCAAACTGCTGACAGCACAGCCCACTGGGATGCACACCACGATAATGCAGGATGATGGGGTTACTCTTGATTGGCCGCCCTGTGCCTATGGGCCTAGTACGTCTTCACCCGCGGTGTCAAGCGAGTTGTGTCAGTAGCGCAAGCATGAGCTGGAGTGCGTGACCATGCAGTATGGGGGTGGGCTGACGGCTCCAATACAGGTACACTGGCAGGCGAGTCCAGGTCTCAGCTCACTAGCCTTCAGCTCGTCCCTGCCAAGATATTCCAGCTCACCGAATGGGTATACAAGCTTCTCGTGCGGTCACCGGCGGCTACGGGCGATGAGGTAGTGCTGGTTTACCGTCGGTGTCTCGACTGGTACGAGGGTTTCTTTGCAATGCTCGCATCAGACGGGAGCAGCTCGCCATTTGTGGCTTTCATCCAGTAAGAGCCCACACATAATCTCCCAGGCCCGTTCATGTACAAAGGCATACGTCTTCCATATACGGGCGTATACATGTCCGCACGGACCAGTGAAACAAGTACGGAACTAATTATTTTGCAGCATGTATTATCAATTTTGCCAGCTTTCCCTTTTCAGGCCGTACGTTAGCATGCCTCTCGCGGGGCTTCATGTGCATCCGCGCGAGATCTGTTTGCAGGCTGCGCAGTCCATTCTTGGGCTCTCAGAGGCATATGCCGACACATTCGGTTTGCGGACGGTGTCTCCACTGATGCCATACTTCGTGTGTGCGTCGGGTCTCTTGAGCCTCGCGGTCGAGGAGCCCGAACATGGCATACTCGATGCTGTTTCCGTACCTCAACATGGTCACAACGATGGGTGCCTGGCCAAGACGACCGAATCACTACAGGAGACGATCAAGCAAGAGCCTGATGACGACCCGGTGGACTTGGAATCGCACTACGGCCACAAGTCGAGCGGCGAGCAACACAACCGGCCATCACCGCAGCCAATGCCCATAAATATGCCAATAGTGACCCACGCACGGTTGCTGCTATCGAAGATGAGCTTCGCGCACTCCGCGGCTTTCCTCGCGGAGGGCATGCTTCACAGGGCACCTGGCAGCAATTGATGAGGCACCTCTGTCGTATGAATGTCACAATGCAGATCATTCGTAAAGAGGCCTCGACAACAATTGCGACATGGAGGGCAGGTTGGAATTGCGATACGATTGCACAGTAGTTTTCTCCCGTGTATTGTGTGGTGTACGCTTTCAAAGCCAGGAATCCTGAGATCTTCTTAGTGGAGCGGCGGCCAGGAAGCTTCTTCTGGTGGCTCACAGCCCGTTTGGCCGGCGAAATGTCTGAAAGCCTGTCTTGGAAGCCTTTCAATTGAAGCCTCGTGCGGCGATGGTGTGTCAAATGTGGTTTTGGAGAATGGCGAAGGGACAATATTAGAGTCCAAGGGCTGTCACATTCACGTACGATTGGATCAACAACAGCAAGGAAAACTGCTGGAGACCACTGGACTCGTCGTGGAGATTACCGCGGCATGCCTCTTCGCGACCTGGCCGCCCATCTGAATGTCCAGTCTATATCACTCGACCAGGACAGCCTCTCAGTGGGAAATGTCTTCGGTGAGAACTTCCGCCTTACTCCCGCCAGTGTTGAGAGAGCTCTGGCCTTCCATGCGTCGTTGTTCTCGCAGTGGAAGCACTTAATTGCTGTTTTTGGGGCTCGAATTGTAGCGTCAGGTGCAATTTTGGGCCGGGCCTGTCAACGCGGATCAAGGACTTCGATGGTTGGGTTCGATGTTCGTTGTGCAGTTCCTTGACGTCACGGCAGGCAGACACTAGTGTCTTCGGAGGCCAATCTTGTGTATCATTGAATCTGACCGGAGCGTGAACGCCGAGTCCATTATCATTCACAGAGAAACAAGTAGAAGCAATTACTCTACGATGCACCAGCTACGATCACCCACTTTTCGATGTCACCAACAAGGACCTAGCGATGCCCCGCTGAACGCCTGGGCAACAAAGTATTCAACATCCCGATCCTCGAAAACATGTGCCAGGTCCCACGCACTCCTTCATAGCGACCGTGTATGCCTTCTGGAAGCCCTTCTTCCAATTGGCGCTGGTCACCCGACCACACTGCCACTGGCAGTATGTACGTATCGCTGTGTCTCTTGGCTCGGGGATCGGGAGGTCGACGGTGTGCGTCGTAGACGATCGATCAGGACTGGAGCTTGCAGCACTATCCGGCGAGTCTTGGCGATAGGACGAAGGCGACACATTTACAATCGTATCATATCGTTCAGTCAATTCCAATAAACTCATCAACGCAACTCAACTCAATACCATGATGATATTGAGTTCGTTGACTAGTAAGAGCAAGCCCTGTTGAGTTGGGTTGAGTTGATTGATGTCCATCTGGTTGACAACCTCGTGATTAACGGTGAGTTGATCGCCAACCTGCGCTTCGCTTGCTGTCTTTCCGGGATGCCGGGTTGCTCATCGACTCATGTCAAGTTTCTGCCCCCGAAGCAATATACTTCGACTTGTACAGAGCACTTTCGGGAAAGTATGGAAATCCGCCAGGTCAGGTGTGGATGTTTCGCCCGCACATGCGGATTGAGAACGAAATGAATGAATGAGATGATGATCTACCAGGGTCTCTAGGTACAGAATGGAGTGGAACGCTACGTCTCATATAGACAGGACTGACAATGTCGACGTGGCCATAGAACCTTCTAGAGACTACCAGTCTCTTCAAACAGGATGGCTCATCACACAGAAGTAGGGTGCAGCAGCGTAGCTGCGCTGGTTGTTCCCGAGGCATGCCATAATCGTACATGTTTACGATGTCCCAACTTGACGGCAGCACCAACGATGCCCACTTCAGGGCTCATCCAGCAAAAGTTCAGAATGACCTCTAGCGACCAGGGGATTTCGACGACCCGATTAAAGAGTACGTTCGCGAGACGGAACACCCGCAATCGGTGGTGCAATACGCGGTCAATTCAATTTCACCCTTCAAATAAGTCTTGACGGCTTCAAAACAATTTTCTCCGTTGGATTGATCATCCTCGCTCGCGTCTTGAGTTTGACGGACGTCGTCTTGGCTGGTGATCCTTGATCCCGGCCCATGCGCTTGTAAGTTGTCCGCAGCCTGGGCGGCTTGGCGTTATTGAATGCACGCCAAGCTGATTCCCACCCCGGTCTCTTCCTCCCGCATGCATACACAAGCTCTAAAGCCATTATTCAACTCTTTCCTCCCCCCAGCCTCGGCAACATTTTCATCCGCCCTGTCAGCAAGCTTTGGTCAACCCCGTCCAGGTGAATACGTCCAGCTGGTTCCGTGGAGGTGTCACCCTGCAACTTGGTGCGGAGATTAGCTCCCGACAGTCCGCACTGAGCGCTATCTGTATGGAGTACATGGTGCTTCTGACAATCGCATCCAACTGGTTATCGCTTGGACCAATCGAGAACTCAAAGTACTACTGAAATCGGCCCCTGAACGTTTATTTCTCACTTCAAGGGCTTCGCAGAGACCGCGGGCAATGACAGGCGACAACCACTGTTGTGGGCAAGACATCGTCTTGTGTTGCCTCACTGCTGAATGAACCGCCTGTAACGCCACTTGGACACAACGTGGAGGTAGAGGACATGCATCGTCGAACCAGTGCCCATGGGCAGCTTCGAGAATGAAGCTCGGGAACATTCATGCGAGAAACCTGATTCTGATGAGGCGTCGGGTGGCCGAAGGACGTGTTGCCTACCGGCTGGCGGTGTTTTGGGACCCCGTATTGACGTTCGCCGGGACCGAATATCCCTGGGCTCACTCCCTTCGTGATCATCCTAAAGGGCTACGCAGAATGGTGCGTTTCTGTAGTAGATGATAAAAGCAGTGCGACGCCGATTCCTGCAACGCGATGGCTTGGAAGAGCATCTTCCATGGTGTTTCTTCCCAGTTGCCAAAACATCCAGCGATGGATTCCTGCCATGGACGGATAGCTCAACCTGCTCCTTGGCACAATACTTCCGACAGAAGAGAGACGTGTATTCAAATTGCATATTCGAGCCTGCGGGCTGAACACTGACGTCGGTTGGGCGGCAAGCCATCTCTGTCTTGTCGCACCAAGTCAGATCGGATGTAGTTGCAACTGCTGTATTATTTTCCACCCGCGGTGACTGGTCAGTCTTGTCGTCGAAAATCTTTGTTTCGTCGCTCCCGAGCCAACGCAGTTTGCGGCCGTCTTGAGAGACTTGAAACTTGGTGCTGATTTCTTGTACAGCGAGTCGCACAAAGCTAAGAGTCACACTGAGTAAGTGCAACTGCGCCATGTTGTACAACAAACCGAGGTGGATCCATCCATCGGAATCCGAGCACGTCTTTGGCGCCCGTCGAAGTTGGCCCCCAAACAGATCCGGGACTTCTATCCCGAGGTGCCGAATGTATGCAATGTTCGCTGAGGGAATCTGGGAGCGATCAGGGTCAAGATCACTGGTTCTAGTAACCCGCTGCTCAAGAATGATCTCGCTGTCGACGTTGCCATGAACACCATTTTCGCTAGAAGTAGATATGGATGGTGCCTGCTCATCCCACAAGGCGCCCTCGTTATCCAACCCAACCGTTTGTGATTGTATTGGTAAAATTCTTGCTTCTCGTGGTGGCTCAGTGGCAGCAGTGTCGTGAGTTCGTGGATCCTGACTCGCCTCAGCCGTGTTATTAGTCGCGTCAGCGGCCACTGCGTCGCAGCTTATAATCGGGATCGGGGCAGTTGTCGCATATCTTGTATGCCCGCAGCATGTTTTGCCTGCGAAAAGCTCTTCGAGACGCTGGACTACCATCCTCTTTCTCTTCTTATTCGAGATTGTCGCACGTCGAAAATCCGGCCCGTTTGGAGCGACGCTCAAATATTTCGTGGCCCCAAGATTGCTCCTTGTCCATGGATCAAAGGCTGACCTCCCAGACCGTCTTTGTCTTTTAGGCGAGTCGGCACGCATTGCTCCAGAGCCATATTCGGAGTCAGTGAGCGGTGTGAGATTCCGAACCAAGTTCGCTGACTGTCGCAGGGAAGCCAGGTTCGAAACTGGACAAGGAGTCATGTCCCGGCTGGTTGAATTATTCAGTACTAATGTTGACGAGGAGTCATAACCGCCCACCCTGGTAGAGAAGTCCTGCAGCATAGCCTCCAGTTGTTGCTTCTTTTGAGTCGGGAGGTCGTAAACTTTTAATTCGAAAAGTTCTTTGGTTCCGAGAACGTTGGGTCCTCTTTGCCTGCATCTCTTCAATGCTCCCTTCAATTGACGAATTTGCAATGTCAGGTCATCGATGATGTCTCGATATGTACCACTACTGCTGCTCTGAGCAGGTGCAAGCTTCGGCGGAGCCCCACGGCACCGTAGGCGTTCGCGCATGGTTTCATGTCCGTCTACGTCGATGCTTTCTGCGATCGCCATGTGTGCGTCGGAGAATCCAGCAGGAGGAATGTCATGTCCACTGGGCAGGGAACAGAATCGCGTGTCGTAGGTAATACATCGTGATCACAAAGGTGTTCGTACAGTACACCCTCCCGCCAAAAAAGTGCGGCGTCCTAGGCTAGGCTTCCAAGTGATGACGTCGGTGGCTGACGAGGAACGGTCTGGACAATGCTCCCGGAATATCTCAGCTCCGAAACATGTGAAGAACTCACCAGCGAATGAGCCTTCCATAGAGATAGTGTACAGATGTCCCTCGATCATCCACAACGGAGCGAGTCCGGTACCAATGGACGATCACATTTCAGGCAGATTCAAGTCTGATGCGTATCGCCGGCATGCCGCATGCGCTCATCTGAAGGACGCCACTGGCTGTTGAAACCGGCTCAGACATTATCAGGCCCACCGGACCAACCCTCACGGGCGCAAAGTGTGGCTGTACGTAAACATTTAATATTCGGCGAACTCCGGCTATCGCATGGATGCAGTGGTCACTTCACTGGAGTTCGCATGGCCATAGCGGTTGTACAGGAGCCGAGACTGGCTGGCTGCTCCGGTAAATGTCAAGAATAGCCTGAGCATCGACTGCACTTCGATAACTGCGGGTCGGGCATCAAGTGCCATCCCCCTTGCTAAACCACCAGCACCAG